ATGAGCTGTTTGGTTGTGTCCGCCTTGGTCAAATCTTCACTAGCGTAGATCAGACTGTTGTTGGTCTTGTCGTTCGCATCGGCCACGGGTTCGCCGATCGTGATAGTGGTAGTTTTAGCATCCGGGCATTCGTTGCTGGCGTCAGCAACGTATGCCACAGGCTTGCAACCTTCCTTCTTGGCAGCAGGAATGTTTGTAACAAGGAACTGCGTAGGAGAGAAATCCTTTTTAAGAGCGCCGGTCAAATCTGAGATCTCGTAGGGCTTCAGGTCACCGTAAACCAAAGTTCTCGTGTCGTTTTTACTAGCACACCCGGCAACAACTGTCGACTTGAAACCATCTCCAGTGTGAGTGTAGGTAAACGAGGTCTTCTTTGTTATCAACCCCAAGATGCACTCCTGAAGATCGTCAACGCTCTTGCACGTGTCAGTACCGCCAATCACGTCGGCCGTAGGCTCATAAGCCAGAGCACCGGCAGCCAAGAGAGTAACAAACAACTTCATAAACGATATACAAAGATACTTTTCTTATTAAATAGAATCTTAGGAATTGGGGACGCCCCGTCTATCGACTCCAAATCGGTCCTTTGGCTGGATGATGGAACCCGACGAGCTGATTGGGCCCACTGGGCCCGCGCGAGCTCTTTTTTCACTGCCTGTGATCGTCGCTAGTGCAATGTCAGTCTCGTAAAAAACCTTTCAGCCCACATGTACGAACCGTTCGTGTACCTGCCGTCTCAACACGTCCCTGCAGCTCGCTCGATACGTGAATGGTGATAGGAGAGGCCGTTACCGTTCACGCAGTGCCACTGCTCCTCATAGACTTCAAGTTAGCGCACTCTCTTCGCCGTGACTGCCTCACACTTCAGGGCCCAAGAACTGAATTGTTTTGGATGCATCACGCGTCGCGGAATGTTCTTACCCGAGAACCCGACTTTCATCACGTTCGAACCGCGTTATTTTTCTGTGAATCGGACCGGTTTCTAGAACCTTATGTCCCGACAAAGTGTCGGGCTCATTGTACCCATAAACCCAATTGTCAAAGTACCAGCAGCCGACCAATTCGATACAACAAAGATCAAGCAGTTGTTGACGGCTCATGCACATCATCAACGGCCGCACTGTGTGGTGATCCCTTAGCTCAAAAAGTATTCAACTGAAATAAATTCCAGTGCCTCTTCTACGTGTGTACTAATCGGTACAATTGCAGGCCCACAGTCCAGTGCCAACCACGTCTCAACACTGGGGGGGTACTGCTATCGTTGCGTCCGAGAACCCGGCATTCGTGCCTGCAGACACATCTTCCTCACGTCCATGAACTGTGGCCATTTTCCAACCGTCTATTTGATGCGGATCCTGACCCCGGTTATTTTGGAATCATACACTGGAAGTCGCAACGGTCTTTTTGGATTGCAGGGCTTGATTGCGATGCTAGAGTGGCCCGTTTGAACAGTTTGGCTGCATTCGTATAAAAGTCAGCCAGCACATCCAAACCGGAAGCCTCACTTCCGGTAATGTACATCTTGCACTGGATATGTCCTAGGGTACAATTGCAGTTTGATTTATCCGTTCCGAAGTGATCCAATGAACACTGGTCGTTGATACAGGACTCTGAGCACGATTCGTCCTGTTTGAGGCTGTCTTTAACTCGCTTCCCCACGTTCTGCAACTCTTTGGGTTCAAGGGTAGTTACGTCGATGCCCAGAATAGTGGCACCTAGCTCCGTTGCCATTCTCTGTAGTAGAAGATCATCGCTATGACTCCGTGTATCGCAATCAACCGCACACTTACCTGGCATGAGGTAGTGCTCGATTGCCTGACCGACGGCAGCGTAATCGTACTTGGTGGGAAGGCCGAAGGAGTGACAAAAGGGGGCCGGGTTCTGTTGGTCCTTCTGGGTGCACACCAATCGGCCACTGGCCTCGCACTGACTTGGTCGTATCCAGCTATTGTTACTCACCGGCTCAATTCGATCAACCGTGGTATTGAATGCAACCTTGCAAATGTTTTCTGCGGTTCGCAAGGTACCCAGCCTCGACTCGGAAAGCATGCCATCGTGTAGTGTCTCCTCGGCCTTAGGGTCATAAATCTTGCATTCGAAGTCGCACAGGCCCCGTCGGATCTGGTCGGGCGGTCGCACGATTAGGGCGGCATGTTTGAACAACTTTGCTGCATCCGTGTTGAAGCCAATCAGGCTGTCACAACTAACAGCCTTACCTGCCACGTCTTGCGCATGGCATCGGAGAATTCCAAGGATGCAGTTGCAGTTTGGCCTTCCTTCCTCGAACCGATCAAAGGAGAACCCGCTGCTGATGCCCACTGGCGAGCAGAAGCTATCTTGTTTGAGTAGGTTTCGGACGTCCCTCCCGGTTCTCACTAACTCTCCGGGTGTTAAGTTACTCACATTTCTGCCCACCGTGGCGGTGGCCAGCTCCCTTCCGATTTCCTGTAGTACGAGATTTTCGCTGCCCTGCTTGGTGTTGCAGTCGACCGCACACATACCAGGCATGAGGTGGTACCAGATGGCCTCCCCGACGGCAGTGAAATCGAACATGGTGGGAAGGCCAAAGGAGTGACAACTGGGGGCCTTGTTATGCCAAGTGCAAATCAATCGGCCACCATAGGAGCCGCACGGGCTTGGCCGTATCCATCTATTGCTGCTCGCCGGTTCCATCTGCTTCGACGTGGCTTCGAATGTACGCTTGCAAACGTCTTCTGCGAGTTGCAAGGAGGCCAGCGTCGACTCGGAAAGTGTCTCGTGGCGCCCCGCCAATTCGGAAGCAGAATGGGAGTTCGGCGTTGATTGGGTAGTTGTGGCGTAGTTCAACGTCGATTGGGAACTTGCGTCGTAGTTCAGAGTAGATTGGGAAGTGGTGCCGTCATTTAAGGTAGATTGGGAAGTGGTGCCGTCACTCAACGTCGAAGGGCCCTGATCGGACTTCGGCAGCCCCCAGTGCAAGCCAGCCCAGATGGCACCCCCGATGACACCGCTAACAGCAAGACCCGTACCCAACTTCATCTTCCATGACCAGTGTTGACAGCCACCAGGGTAGACCGCATCAGGATACCCGTCCGAATACTCGTCCGAATACTCGTCCGCGAAAACAGACTTGTTGATGACAGGCCACCAGTCTTCCGGCACCTGCGGCCGGAGCTGGTCCCGCTCTGCTGGCGTCAGCATTCTGGCACATAGCACTTCTAGCTCCATCTCGCATTCGACGTCGTCATAGCGAAAGGTCCTTGGTTCGACGTTCACGGAATGCTCCTGCGAAAGCCTCCTGTTGAAGATTTCCAGCCATACTTCATCGGTGGCAGACGCGCCCGAGTACTGAAGGTGCATCTTCAAGGCGTCCGCAAACATACCCTCGATGTACTTGGACGCCGCAATTGATTTGGGCGGCTCATTCGCCTCGTGGTAAACTAACATCCTTCTGGACCACTCGAAAAGGCCGGCAAACTCGAGTGGGCATTCGGACTCCAAAGGACACTCCTGTGTCAAACGGTCACCGGGCCGGCCCAGAACCACCAATTGGAGAACTTCGTCCCCTCCAGCACCTATGGTTACCATTCGAGCGACGCACTCATCAAGATGCGGCCTCTCTCCATTCGGTGCCACAACGATTGCCAGAGCCTCGAACCATTTCGGGCTTCTCAAACCCGAACGCACAATTGTCTTCATCAATTTCGAACCAAAAAAATTGCACAAATCGGCCAGGATCCGTTCGCCTGCATAATCCATCATTCTAACCGTCTATTCCCGTGACGCTGTGAGTACCACCAGGAGTACCACCAGGCCTTGGACTGAGTCTGAGGGGTCTAAGCCGGTGGGCCCATCCGACCCAAGCATAACGGGCGTTCGTGGTGTCACATGGGGACGGTCTATCTCGATGTTACTGTTGTGTCGAACTGGTCCGCTGCTGACGTGGTGCTGCCTGTGTCATATGAGGAGCCCTCGGTGTCGATTCTGCTAACTCGCATCGCTAGGTTGCTAACTCCCTCTGTATTTAATTATGATAAGTTTTTCTCTGTTTGAGTCTCTTCGGCGAGAGCACCGTCTCGGTGAGTTGTTGAGAAGTTGTTCTCTCTGAGAACAGCTTCCCTTGCACTTGACTCAAAAAGGTCAGAAGTGGAATTCATCTCGTCGAAAAATATCTGTGCGCGTGTTTGCACACACTTTTGTGCGCGCGCCGTGAGTCACCCAAATCGCCGCTCGGCTCTCTGCCTCAGAATTCACCAATCAAGCATTAAGTGACTCGGGGACACTTCTTATTTAATACCTCAAGGTGGATATCGGTCGAGAGATTGGTTTCCCATCGTACCACACCGGACTAAGCGTGGCCGTGGCGTGCGTGATCCCCACGATCCGGTGTGGAATGGCGTTCTTTGGTCGAATCGTGGTGAGCCCGGATAGGTGTCGGTAGGCACGAGCCTCAATTTCATCCAGTGGAAAGGTCACAACTTCTCCCA